AGTGGTTATAAATGTGACATACATTGATAATTATGACTTCTAATTCAAATAAACATATAGGCATTGTATTTTTTATTCATTTTTAATTGCTCTCATATTAATACTATTCCACATCATGTTGTACTTGATTATTAAATGAGTGTGAGAATTCTGAATTTTCAAGTACATAGAAGGTATTAAATGAAATTTGTAGGATACTATACATTGAAAAGTATTATTTTATAAAAGATTCTATTTATTTATTTTTAGAGAGAGGGGAAGGAAGGGAGAAAGAGGAAGAGAAACATCAATGTGTGGTTGCCTCTTGTGCACCCCCTCCTGGGAGCCTGGCCCACAACCCAGGCATGTTTCCTGACTGGGACTTGAGCCAACGACCATTTGGTTCATGGGCAAGCATTCAATCCACTGAGCCACACTAGCCAGGGCTCAAAAGTATTACTGAATGAACATAACAAAAATGGTTAAAAATTTATCTGAATGTTTATATTCATCTCAAGGATACAATCACTTAAAATATATTTCCTTAAATCTATATATATGAAGTTATTATTAGTATAATAATCATATACTAAATATATAATGATTAAAAACAAAAATAGATTTATTAATAATAGCATTCACAAACTTTTAGAATTCTGTTCAAAATTATATAATTAAGGCGTAGAAACTCAGTGCCTTTTCCCTATGAGGAACAAGCAATCCATATATATTAATGAAGCAATTAAGTGTCCAAAAAAGAAATTTGTGGTGAATAAAAGTTAAAGTACTTGCAAATACTAATAAAGCTTCAGGGTATCAAATACATATAGAGCAAAAAGAGAAAGAAACTAATTGATTACCAAGAAATAATTGTTGTTTAAAACATATGGAACTACTATATTAGAAACAAATAAGTGATAGCATTATTTGGAAGATATAAAGACCAAATTAGCTTAAATTTAAAGAGTAGGAGGAACAAGGGACGCAAACCAAAGGTGCTTGACATGAGCTATGGAATGCAAGACTTTAACCCTAAAGGACAGATCCAGAAGATTTGCAGGTTGACTGAGGGAGGAGGTATCGGGATGCACCTGGAAGAGAGGGCCCTTAGTCCATCCACTGGAATAGCTCAGTGACTAAAGAAAAGGTTTCTTCAATGGGATAAAATTGGCTCTCTGCTTTTTATGCTTGAGAATCTCAAGAGAGAGAATACCGATGATTGGCAAAAAGCCTGGAGTCAAACTAATAATAAGGACACATAGAAAACCAAGCAAATAGTAGCAGGGAAATCATAAACCAGAGCACATATAATTTTGATAATATCGAAATTAATTATAGTAAAAAAGCTACATATTTATGAATGCTATTTATATTATTAAAAGTGATTGTTATAAAATTATATAATCATGTGTTTAGAAACAGTAAAAGTATCTAAAAAAAAGTGTCTCACATAAACTAGCAAATTATGAAATTAACTGCGTGACACATTAATATAAAAGGATAATGGCTTAATCTCACCAGTAGATTCTTCAAGAAAGAAGAATCCAAAGGGACAGATTTATAGGAAAAATGTTTTGACTTGTAAATGTGAGCAATAATAGGTGATTTTTTTGTCGTGGTTGTTAACACTTTATTAGCTAACACTATTCTTTCAAATGACAACAAAGACAGCAAGTCAGATATGACCTATTGTCTGTGTATTGCTGTTTGACCATACAGACTAAAAAAGATGGTGTCTATTTCATATAAACTACCATCAACTAATATGTATTGTTATAAATAGCTACATATTATTACTGAAATTTGGGAAGCAATTAAATATTTAAGTAAGAAATATTTTCAGGATTATTTAGCTTGCTTTTACCAATACTCTATCACCCATGAATAAAAAAAAAATGAGCTAAGAGCAGGCTGATGATTAGGAAACTATGAAGATAATTAAAACTTCAGAAGAGAAGGCTATTATTTTATTCCTTCTTTGGGTTGGCTTGTAATTTAATTCTGACATTTGGAATTGATGGTCTGAAATCTAGTTAAGTTTTATTACCATATTCTTTTAAAAGCAAAGATCATTGAATGCTATTTTAGTTCAGTTGTGAAGCTAAAAATAATGGAAATATTATTCATGCTTTTCTGTAATTTTGTAAAGGTCTTTTTAAATAGTGACTTAATTATGATTAAGCAGAATTTAACAATAATACTTGGATTTAACAGTTTAAGCTCTAATCAATACGGTGTTGAATGAATGCACAGTTATAAATTTGAGAATAATTTATTTTGTTTACATTTTATGTTAATCTCCTAAGTATTCATAATATTTTATCAAATTAAAAAGATTGTCATACAAAATATTGAGCATGTCATTTGACATTTGGCAAATATTTGAAGTATAACATCAAGGTGAAAGGCACTAATATGTGAGAATCAAATGATAGAAACTAAAATGACTGGTGGTATTTTGTGCATCTAGTAAAATAAGATCCAAACCCAATAGTGTAAATATTTTCATGTCTACTTTTCTGGAAAAGTAAAGAACTATTTTTAACTTACCAGTAAGAAATTAATAAAATTTGATTTGACTCTTAAATGTCGTTTTTTCTCATAAAAAGCATTTCTTAAATTATTGGAAAAGTATAGGAAGTATTGGTTTTACAGAGATCTGGTAATTTCATTGATCAAATCAGGACATTGATTTATAGCAAAAATTATTATTAAAGTATATCTATGAAATATGAAATCTCTATCTCTGTCTTAATAAAGATTCAACATATTATTCATTTCCAGATCAAGGAACGAGAATTATGAATCCAACTTCATTATTTAAGTACCAAATTACCAAAAAACTGGTAGTCAAATTAACATTTCTTCAGATGGAGCTTAAAAAAATCAATGTCTTATTCTATCTAGTATATGGTTAAAATATTATTTTATCATAGCAACCTTAGGTCAAAACTTGTAGATGGTTTGGTTTGTTGTGGTCCCCTTAGGTTTTAAAAAACAGCAAACCCAAAGAGGCAAATGTGATGTAATTATCAATTTCTCCATTTCTTACTTGACATAATTCTTCTTTTTAAGCAGATGTTACAAATACACTCATTATAGTCTTCTTCAGAATTTATTGACTTATTGTCACTTATCTTTCTAATGATTAGAGTTTAAGGGATTATAAGAAGCATTAATGGATATTTAATTGATTTTTTCTGACTACCTTGATACTCTATATGATCCTCCTCAAATATTTGTCTGATTCATGCCAGACAAACTACTTTCTTAGGTGAAAACTAGAATTTTCTAAACTAATATTAAAACTGAAAACATTCTGTTTTCTAAGAGATTCCCATGATTAGAAAAAAAATCAAATAATTCTTAATGGGCCAGGATGTTTATTTTTTCCTTAACATTACATAAACTCTGTAATGTATGTTACCTATTGATGGTAAAATTATTAAAACAGCCTTACTTTTAAAAGATGTTACCACATAGTAAGATAATAGAACACAAAAGTGCCTCTTTACAATTTGGTAGGTATATGCTATTTGAAAAATCTTGATAACAGACTATTCAATGTTAAATTTCTATATAAATTTCACCTAGAAATCACCCTGACCATGGCATTTGTTCCTTGAAAGATAAGTAAAAAAGGGAAAGAAAAGGATCATTAATGTCACAGAAAATGGATAACAAGGAATCTCACTGTGCAATTTCTTTCTTTTGGTTTAGGTTTTATTTTCCAGGCTAAATAAGGGCAAGTGCTCTATCTGGCAGTCTTTCAAACATTGCAAAAATGTTATTATGCAGAATTATCCATCTCCTTCTTTCCCATGTGTGAGGGTGGCTATGTTCTGTTTTCTGGACAATCTAATCATTAGTTAAATTTCACATTTCTTCAGGTTTCTTGTCTTTAATCTACATGTCACTAGTTTTTCCAAGATTTCCTCAAATACAATGACTGTGTATCTACTCAATAAAATAATTAAAACATTTTTCTAGTTTTTATATATACACTCTAAATGTTACCCAAGTTATATTGCCTGAATTGTCTGATCATGAAGGAAAAAAAATCAAAATTATTATTTCTCATTCTGAAAACTACTATTGATGGGAGAAGAGATATTTAGATGTCATCTACATAGCATTACTTACAGAACTTCTCTCTTAATTCACCCTTTTATCTCATAGTAAAAATGGTACAAAAAAAGTTAATCACAATTATAATAGTTTCTGTTCCACATGTGACTTATATCCTATTGATGGGTTGATGCCAATGACTCAGTAAACACTTGTTCATATTTAAGTTTTGAAGCAGAAATTCACAATCTGTACTAAAGTTCTTTTACAGTTCCAGTACATTCTAGTTCCAAATCACATGCATAACATAGCTGTATTTTTCCCTGAGTAAATCATGTTTTACCTTTAAAGATGTAAAAGCTTTTGTTTTAAGTGACATCAGAACTGCTTCTAGGAATTAAATAAAATGAAATTTATTTTTATAAATACTAGTTTATTTCATAAAAATACAAAAATATAAATATACATTTATAAAAATATGAATAAATTAACACCAAGACATTCTTCAACTAAATAAATATGGCAGTAATATTCATTCCTATTTCTTTAGGGATATTTTTTCCATTTTAATTTACAAAGCAGTTGCACAATGTTTCATTTAATAGTAAAGGTAACTGCAAGTCAGTTAAGAAAACATTTATAAAGTTCTTATATCTAAGAAAAGGCACAAAAAGCCTTTATATATTGTTATTGATTATTGATGTGATATACTTTCCTTCGGAGATTGTTAGGCAAAGAGGGTGAACTGGTTTATTATTATTTCTTAAAAAATCTATGTCATTTGTATTCATTCACAGAAACTTACTGATTAAGCAAACCCTTACTAAGACAACACCTACGTATTGTTTGAAATTTTGACTTTTAAAAAATTTCCTCCAAGGAAGAGAACACAGGCCACTCAACCCAGTAACAAAGAACACTTCCACTAACATCGATCAAGTCATACAATACTCTTAATCTCGGTCACTCTCATCACCCCCGTACATATCGGCCAGTTTTTTAAACCTAGGTCCCCAGTCGCTGAGATAATCATAATCTTGGTTACAATCCGCTGTGAGAGATTCTAAAGAACTGAGTGAATCTGCTATGGAATCATTCCCTTCATAGGCATATGTAGCCAGAGAATCATAAGGAGGTGCATTTGGGTCTGAGTCATTTTCTTTTAATCTTCGATGGATAAAATCTTGTACATCAATATTTTCCCACAGAGGCACAGTTCTCCTTATCTGAAAAATAGTTTCCGGCATTACATCCCTTCTAAGTTTACTTTCTTCTCTTGCTTCAGGATTCCTTAATGTGCCAATGTCAAAAGCCTGAGTGTCTTCTTCCCCACCGCCTTCGTCATTGTAGGTCACGATGTTGTCCCGGACATCGTCTTTTGAAATTATCAGAGGTTCCTTTTTTCTTTGCCTCTTCAATGCAGCAAACAGCACAACTAAAACTACTTACCGAGAGAGAGAGAGAGAGAGAGAGAAATGAAAAGAAAGAAAGAAAATAGTGAGATTCCATGGTAGAGATTTAAATTTTATATATAGCACATTTCTGTGAATGATGCTTGTGGAGTGTGAGAATTGCTGAAATTGGATAAAAATAGTAACTATCTTACACAAATGCAGGGTGATTTGGGCCAAAGACTGGATACACTAAATTGATAAAATAGGTATTACAGTGTCATTTATTTACTTTTAAGATTCACTTTCTTATTGAGCGCTGGCATTGAAAAAGCTTTATTCAATTATGGCTAATATATTTAGCCAACTGTAAATATTTGATACCTTGTTTCTCTCAAATATATTTTTAAAAAATACTAAAATTTTAAAGCTATAGTAATTATTATACCAAGAGAAAGTATCAATTTAATATTTTCTTAGTGACTCAAGGGAATATATGTAAAACATTATTCATGTATATGCATATATGCATATGTGTGCATTCTATACATGTTATGTATATCTAATGCCTATATATACACACATAAGTATATGAAAATATATGGTATATAACATACATAACAAAGATATATAACATATATGTACATGAATATGTTTGTGCTATTGATCTCATCCTTTCCTATAGTTGACATCTGCTTACTTAAGTTTCTTTATTGAGCTGTTTTTAAAGCCTGCTTAAGATCTGAAATATAACTCAATATTGTATTTTATATTTACACTATAAAATACAATACAAACTCAAATACATCTTAAGCATATAATCATCTTACAAGGTAGCTCAGATCATATGTTGTTCGTGAGGGCTTCCTTTACTTCCACAATTTGCACTCAAGCTTTTAGGCTAAAATGCTAATTTGCATTCCCCGTATTGTCCCTTTTCTTTTTATTACTTACCTATATTTTTACCTTTATTGTATGATTACTTATAAATAACCTATATTATCAAGTTAACTATAAACTTCCTCCCATATGATATTCTTTATTTGTCATTATATTGCTGGAATTTAACATACACACACACACACTTGACAGTGAACATATGCCAAGTAAATATTTGCCTTATGCCATTAAAATGCATTTATTTGAAAAACAAGAAAAAAACACATCATTTCCAAAATACAACTTTTCCATTTAAAATGCACTACATCTCTGCTTTTAGGCATAAGAAAATTTTAGAAATAACAAAAGAAAATTTCCCAAAAGCACATTTACACATTGCCTGAAAGAAATAACAAACAGGTTTCCCTTACTTTAGGTCAGTAAATGTTTTGTCAGTAATATTCGTGTTTCACTGAAAACCAAGAAAATGTTGGCTCAAAAATCAATTATTTCTTTTCTCCACCTCTGTTTCAAGACTACATAAAGCAAATTCATTTACACTGAGTCTGTACCTCACACTGGCCCTTGAGGACTTTATAACTCCACTAAAAGTCAGTCCGGCGCTGTTGTCTTATTGGCCAACAAACATTCCTCAGCTCTTACTAATTGGGAGAAATATTTTAAAAAAAATAATTCCAAGCATCTTTAATCTCCACATAATGGCCTTTCAGTTATGGGCTATATACAGAAACAACATAGAGAAAAAAATTTAAATTTCAGTAAAAATAAGACATAACTATACTTAAAAGGATAAAATTAAACTAATTAAGTCAAACATAAGGTTTAAAATCCAACAATCTAGTGAACCATGCAGTAGAAAAAGAAGGGTATTTGTAAATTTAACATGGAATGAATGACTTTATGAATTTTCTACTTTTTATAAATAAAAGAACAACTATATAGTCAAATCATTTGAAAAGTTTATTAGGTTAATATAATGTTTACTAACTCTAACAAATGATCTTTAGGACCTATTCTGAGTGTTCTCTTTCTTCTACCAGGTCACCAGTATCTGCTTCTTTTCCTTAGACTAGGTTATTATTCTGGGATATGTGAATGAAATGTAGAGAGTCTAAGATAAGGGGTAGAAAAAAGTGTATCATTATTTACACTAAACTGTAACTGTAATTAGAAAGCATTCCTTTCTAATATGGATTTCAGTATAAATTGTTGTGATAGTCATGGTATGTGTGACTATAAACCAATAAAAATCACTTATTTTACCTTGCAGTATAGTTACAACACATTTCAAGTGATTACTTGATTTCTACTAGAACAAGGCAAAATGACAATAATTAAGCAAATTTTGCTGTTTTCTTTTTTTGTTCAATTGACAGATATGCTTTGTTTTGCCTTATATAACTCATTTCTATATATTTTTAAATTATTATTCTAAACAGGTCCATAAGCTTTATCTGACTGCCAAAGGTGACCAAGGAACCAAAGAGTTTAAAAAGTCCTGACCTAAGTCTTAATCCCTTACTTTGTCTTGAAACATAGATATAAAATAAAAACTACGTTTCTTCCACTTGTAACAGGGTATGTCTAAAATATTGCCCATGCTATATCACTGTCTTGCAAAGAGCAGACTCTCTTAACTATGGAAATGCAGTATACCCCAGCTGGTGTGGCTCAGTGGAATGAGCAATGGCCTGAAAACCAGGGGGTCACTGGTTCAATTCCCAGTCAGGGCACATGCCTGGAGTGCGCACCAGGTTCCCAGTGGGGGGCATGTGAGTGGCAATCACACATTGATGTGTACCTCTCTTTCTCTTCCTCCTCCTCTCTGTCTAAAAATAAACAAATAAAATCTTTAAAAAAAAGAAATGGAGTAACTCTACCTAGTCATCTGTACGCAGCCTTGAAAGAGCAACAAGACTGCATTGGAACTCTGATAATGAAAACTGAGGTTTTATTATCTGGTTCTAGCCAACTTTAACTAAAATAATAGTGCATCACTCCACATTTAGGCAATAACTTGAGAAGATGAACAGTAAGTGTGTGCGTTCTATGTTGCTCAGAAAAGAATAGTGACACTTTTTAGAATAAAAGAAGCCTTCTAGGATTTCTGCAGAAGAAAATGTTACACAATTTGGTTTAAGAATGTTGTAATACCTAAACTTATTTGGGAGGGGTGCCTTTGTTCGCCCGTATATGCATGAGTATCTTTATGTATGTGTGCATATTACATTAATGTGTGAATAAAAAATGGAATTTAAAATATGCCTGATTTCATGTTCTTAATTAGGAAAGTAGAACTATCTGAACAAACAAAACAATATGAAAAGTAAAAAGTGGCACTTAGCTAAAAGTGTAGGTCAAATTTAATCTCCATGCGGGATACAAAAATATATTACTTAGGAGCTGAACCTTGCAGCAGCAGGTGGAGATGCGGACTGCTGATGGTGATGATAGTGTGCATGTTCTGACACCCTGAGAAAATGTTTTTCTAAATAGTTGGATCATTTTAACTGAAAAATAACGGTTTACTCTCACTTCCATCAATCCCCCACTGAAGTCCTACAAGGATATCTGGCCAAAGGGATTTCATCCAGATAGTTTGAGAGGATTTGCAGTGAAAAGAAGCCAGCACATATGGGCATTGGAACATAAATTTGGCGAGCTCTCCTGCCCCAAGCATAAGCATTTTGGATGAGTATGTGTTGGAAACAATTTTGGAGACATGTTTTACAGTGGAACAACTGTTTAATTGAATTAAATCGTTGTCCTGTTAGGGCAGGCTCAAATAAAACATTTGCTATTGGAAGCATGACTTTATTTAGAAAACATTGCAGGACTAGATTTCCCACAATGCCATAGTGATAATTTTAAAAAAATGAACATAGGCTTTTAATTTGATATATTGTACCTACATATAACACATTTTATGAAAAAATTATCTTGTGATAATTTAAATACATTTGCCATTTACATATCTGATGTACGTAACTTAGTAATTGTTTTAAAATTGTGAAGATAGCCTTTGGTTTTGAGACTAATGATTAGAAAGGGGAATTTTGAATTCAAATGATCTGGGTTTTGAAGGTAGTTCAAAGATTTTTTAAATGACTGACTTTGTGTAAGTTATTTAGTCTTTCTGTAGAAGAATACAAGTATTTACCTTATAGAATGGATATGAAAATTAAATCAATTCTTAAAAGTCATTACAAAACAATGACCATGGTTAGCTCTAAAAAGTATGATTTTTTTTTTTAGAAATCAATAAATATAAAATATCACCAGCTGTTTTATCTTTTTTTTTAATTTAATTTCTAGAAAGCCAGACCTATCACTGCACACAAAAGCTAATTGTTGGTTAAAAGGATAATTGTTTTTTAAAAGGTTAAAATATTCCATCTATAGCTACGGAGAAGAGTGCTTTTCAGTGCAGGATCACTGGGCAATGAGGCAGGGAAATTGGCACCGGTCAGAGGTGTAACTTTACCGAGCAGGATGAGGACGCAGAGGAGGATGGCAACCAGAGCTCCCGTGCTGAGCCCGGCCGAGAGGACCAAGGCCTGCGCATTGCAAGACTGCATGTTTCCTTGGTTATCACAGGCGCACACCCGGATGGTGAGAGTGCCCGTGCTGCTTTGGATCGGGTAATCGTTGTCAAAGATTAAAACCGGTAGGAGATAGGTGCTCATTTTGTGGCGGCTGTACCCATCTTTTCGAGTCATGATTCCTGCTGTGTTATCTGGAAAAAATGCGTGGGGAGGGAATAACTCACATCAGCTTTTTAATTTTGCATCTTAAGGTCTCATAAAATTTTTTGAATAAAAAAATGGTCTATACCTTTATTATCTACAATGGTAAAGTTTGGATTGAGGGGAAACTCTGGCACTGGCTCAAAGAAGAATTTGTGGCCTCGGGGAGGATCATCCTTGTCCATGACACTGACAGTCTGGATCAACTAAAACAAAATACATTAAATAAAGCACAACAGAAATACAGGCCTGTTAGTTATTACAAGAGAATTTTAATGAGTGTTTGCACTTTAATATACCACTGCAGTTAAGGGGAAAAAATTCCATCTCAAAAAATTATGCCAAAGTTTTTGTTTTTGGTTTAACGGTTGTATCTAATATAACTAACCTAATTAATAATAAAACAATATCTATCAAGTATTCATTTACAGGGTATCTCTATGATTCAGTGTTTGATTCCTGCCTGGTATAGTGTAAAACCTTAAAGAAAGAATTGATGACTCCAACATCAATCCTCTTTGAATATTTCAGGAAGCACCAGTCTTTTTGTTATTAATTATTTACCAATCTGTTGTCTACACTAGATAATGGTTGGCATAAAGGTAAAGAACATAAGAGATGCTTTAAAAACATAAGAGTTTACTTAGCATAATCACCTCCTATAGATTAAAAATACTATTAATAGCATTTTGGAAAATGAGCAATATGTCAAATAATATCATAAATCAAACGTTTTTAGAGCTATGGGACACCACAAGTGCAATCATATCGCATATGTTATTCAAATATTTGCCTATCTTTTAATGGTGTTGCCAAAGTTTAGAAAGATATACAAATAAATGCTTCTCAAGTATTGTAAAACCCATGCCAACTTGGAGAAATTACAGAACCTCGTAGCTGTGCTCTCTGTAAACCAGGGCTGTGCTGTGGAGTCACAACTGGAGCAGCAAAGGACGGACTGTGTACAAAAAATGCCACTGAGCTCTCCATTGGGGAAAAAACACTCAGCTACACCTCAGGTGTCTGTTTTTCTAGTCCAGGACTTGTAATTTCTGTGACTTCGCCTCACAGTCATTTAATGACTCTGACTTTCAAATTTCTCATCTTAAAAAAAACCAAACAGTTCCACCACTTTTGGGTATCATAGTCTGATTCTTTGATGAACAATTAGTGGAATTTCAGAGTAGTTTAATGTATGTGTTGTTTTGGGTGTTGTGTTCCCTTTATAGGCATACTAATCTGTATACTCACTAGTCAAGAGTTTCCTTCTATAATTTTATATTAACCATAATTTTATTCATTTTGACAAAGTGACATGTAACTTTATGTCTTTTTATACGATGCTTCTGAAAATTGTTAATACAAACTGAATCCACTGTTTCTCCTAGAAAATTGAAGCATGACATAGACAAAAATGTACATGAAGCTTAATATTATTGCTCAATACTTTGTTTCAGAATAACAAAATTGTTCTATTACTTTGTAAGATTTTTGTATCATAAACAACACTGGTCTTTTAATTATATGGCTGTTTTTTGAAATAATTAGATGGACATTCTTTAAGCATTTCTGAGAGAATATACATCAGAGGCTTAAAAATATATATATCTTCTTTCTGTTAATTTTTATAAGAACATTGTTTTACAACTATATGAAAATACATAGATATTTTAATAGTAGTAGTATATATTAAAATAATTATTAGTTACTTAAATTATACTTTACATTAAAACATTAACTTGTAATATATGAATAACATATAAATAAATAAAAGAAAAACATACTAATAGACAAGTAAAGAATCTTTATAGCCCATCGTTGATTAGCTTGTGTCCCCAAAATTTATGTTCACGTCCTAATCCCCAGCGCCTATGAATTTCCCTTATGGGTAAATAGGCCCTTTGCAGATGTAATCAAGCTAAGATCAGATCATACTGGATTACATGGGTACTAACCCAGTGAACGGAGTCCTCATAACATGAGGGAAATTGAGATACAGAAAGAGATACAGGAAGAATGTCATGCAATAGTGGAGACAGCCATTGGAGTATTTTGGGTCTCCAAGCAACCACTGAGACTAGGAAGTGGCAAAGAAAGAGTCTTCCCTTGAGCCTTTAGACAGAACATGAACCTGCTGACACATTGGTTTTAGAACTATATAGAGAATACATGTCTACTGTTTAAACTACCTGATTTGTGGTAATTTGTGATGGCGTGTTGGGAACCGTCCCGCCTGGTTTCAGGGACTATAGCCTAGCCGACAGGCGAGAGGGCCCTAAGGCTAGAGCTGAGCAAGGAGGCCTTGGGAAAATAGGCCACTGAAGAGACAAAACCTGTCCTCCCAGCAGGGGCTCATCCCCTGCCTCCCTCCCATCACCCTGCTTAGCCCCTGAGGATGGCTGGTTAGTCAATAATGGGTAAGACCACTGGATGGCAGGGGCAACCTAAGACAAGCACAGTCACATTGAGGCCATCAGGAAAGGTCTTGGGGGACACAGAGAAGGGGCAAAAGACCTTCAACCCTTGACTCTGTCATGGCCGGAGTCCTCATTCTATCTGAAAAAAAGTCTCCTTATCTCTTGGCTGCTCTGCTCTCCCAGCCTGACTCAGGCATGAAACTATGCTAGAGACAGGTACAGCCCTGAACGGGATCAGGTAGTTTCCAGGGGGCAATTAAGCCTGGAAAAGGAATGCATTAAATCCTATGAAACTTGCTTTGCTAAGAATGCTCTCAAATTAATGAGTACCGGTGTTTGGGGTCCGAGCATAGGATGAGTTTATTTTCCCAGGTTTCAGGGCCGAATGGGTGTCACTTGGTTTACCTGACCCTGCCTCAGAAAGACTCTTGTGATCCCTTTACTGTTATCCTTGAACCATATCTCCTTCCTTTAATCATTACTATTTAACATTGATTGATGAGTTTTATTCACATGTTTTGTACCCCTATAAGAGCTAAACTCAATAAAAGTCCAAGGAGAAAGGTGCTCGGGGCTCTTCTCTTCTGAGATTAGCCAGCCTTTCCTCCTCAAGCAGATCCCGCTTCGGGCATTTTCATTTCATCTGCCATGCTGGACAAATCTCCCCTTTAAATGGTGTCCTTAGGAAACTAATATAGCTGTGAAGATTTTTTTAAATAGCCACATATTTATGAAAACAAACTGTTCAATCTCAATATTTTGGAAGAATTCATGTTAAAATTATTATGAGATATTACATATTGGCAGGTATTTAAAATCAATGTTGCCCAATAAATAAGCAATTATCCACATTCGATGAGAGTTATCAAATATGACATTAAATATATGACATATTTGAAAGCATATGAGCATAGGTCAAATTTAATTATTCCTACTTTGAGAATTATATCAAACAAAAATAACACTGAGTAGTGTATAAATATAAATGTAGTATAGCACTCAATATAGTACTGTCTGATAAAGTAATACCTTGTTGACAAAGTGAATTTTCATTAGTAAGTATGTAGATGAATAGTCTAATATGCAACTATGCTATGGATATTAAGCATCAAAATAAAAAAAATCATTTATTGCACTGAGAATATGCTCATTACCTATTGGAGAGTAAAAAAAAAAGAAAAAGAAAAATAATTTTTAATCCAAATATCTGTGTAATGATTATCTGTTGGTAAAATGAAATAAAAACTTTGAAATTAAGGTACAGGCACAGTGGGCTTCTTGTGAGGGATCATTCCTGGCTTGCAGATAGTTGTTTTCTTCTTGTGTGCCTTCATCTAGCCTTGCCTTTGAGTGTGTGCACAGAGAGAGAATGATCTCTCTGGTGTTTCTTCTTTAAAGGGCACTAATCCTTTTAGATCAAAGCCCTGCCTTAATGACCTTTTTTAAATTCCCATTGCTTCCTTAGAGGCCCCATCTACAAATCCACAATAGTGGTTAGGAAGGTTCAACATATGAATGTTGAGAGAAACAGAAACACTCAATCCATTATAATCTCTATTGAAAAACAAGACTGTATTTCACTTTTATTTTCTATATAAAAAAAAAATAATCACATTACACAGGATTCATATACCTACATTTTCTTAAAGAAATACCTAAGTAATTGGTTAAAATTTCTCTCAGTAAAATTTATTTCATTACTGTCATTTGTAAAATACTCTGTCAAAAATGCACATATCTTGACTTTGCTTAAAATTAATTTAGAGATATCTGAAATATTACTCTGTAGGGGACTTAAAATATTTATTTTAATCTCACTAATATTCAAGTTGAAAAGTAACAAAATAAAATATACAAAATATAACTTATACTAAACCAAAATGTTCTGACTAAGCAACTAAAAGTGACAAAATAGAATCAACAAAACAATGATTTATTCCCTTTATACTGACAGAGAACAATTTTATTTTCATATTTTATGTTTTATTTGATGCATTTCTATGGTGAATATAATTCAGTATCGACATAATTATGAACCAGGTAGAAACCAGTATATAAATTAAATCATATATTATATTTTTTTCCTATTTTAGTATGGATTCCATAATAAAAGCTGTATTAAAATCATCTTTTCTAAGTCATTGTGGCTTTTGTGGTAAAACAAGATAGGCTACACCAAAGATTGACAATAGTTTGAAGGAAAAAAAAGTGTAAGTAAAGTAAGTCAATGTCATCCACATTTGTGAGGAAAAAATATTTATTTTTAAAGTTCAAAATAATTTTATTTACCTGCCCAGGTTTTGCATTTTCACAAACAAAGGTTTCATAGTACATGGCAAATTCTGGAGCATGGTCATTTATATCTAGAATTCTGATGAAGACTGGAATGTGGCTACTCTGTTTTGAGTTATCTGTAAGGAGAACACGGAAAACATTTCAGTCTCATTGAGAGAGAAGCAGTGATATCACTCTCCCCATTTGTAATTCAGCAAGAGATCATTTCTGTGGTATTTGCTGCTTGATTGGACTGCTGATGGATACCCCAGCTTTCTTACACGGTCCAGATGGAATGCATGATAAAAAGAGGAGAACATGACTGATGATAAACTATTATTTGTAAGAGATAACTTTCTTAAACTGAATAATTTTATGAGGAAAGATCTTAGTTCTATCTTATAAGAAGGTATAAAGAAAATCAAGTTTAAAAGACATGAACATTTGGTAATCATTAAAAGAATTAAAAATGCAACACACTCTAAATCATTCCTCTCAGATCTTTCTAATGATGCAACCATTCACTTAAGGAAAAAGGGTCTTTTTTAGTGTCATTATTTTACCACTTGGGTTAAAAAGACTGTGTTCAGACGGCCATATTTCCAACCTACTTAATTCTGTGGCTATCACGGTGATGTTGTGCCATGGGGACGACTCGCGGTCAAGAGGCTTCAAGGTGAAGATGGAGCCATTGTCTGCGTGGACACTGAAGACCCAGTCTGTATCAGTGTGCCGGTCAACGGAGTACCTAGCCGAAAAGAGAGTCATCAATCCAAGCATTGTTTTAAGATCATTAGTTCACACATTCGGCGATTCACACCATGCTCTGATAAAAACATAACCAGTAAAATGCTGAGATTTTTGAATTTTTATTTAATGGAATTGTCATTTAGGCAATTTGATATATTTGGCTGTTTCTATTATTTCAATTTTATGATTATGTGTACTTTGAAGTGATTATTTGTACTTATAAACCCTTGTGGCAGCTTGTATGTTTTGAATTGTCACTTGATTTAATTATCCTATTATAGACCCATGCAGTGCTTGAGACATATTAAGCAGTTATATTAAACTTGAGAGAGTCACTGCATTGGCTAAATAGAAATTATGCTTTAAGAAAACACATAAGAACATGTGTCCATGGGGTCCTTAGAAGCATAAGCAAATGCATAGGCTGTCGTAAAATGCATTGTTCTTGAATGACTTTCTTCATTAAAAAAAATGGAAGCTGAATCAAATGCCTCCCTTCAACTTATCCCTCAAACCTATTCCAAATAAAAATTAAATGTCATTAGCAAAAAGAATATTTCTAATTAGGTGTAGATATGGAAGATATTACCATAAACTTTGTATCATCCTCTGATTGGTGAAAGAGTGCCATCCTCTAAAGGATGTCTACCTCCATATCCCTGGAACCAGCGGTAAGGTTATTTTGATTGTAAAAGTTATTTTGCAGATGTGATTAAGGTTAAAAATAGAGATAGAGATTAACATTGATTATCTAGATGGGCCTAAACTAATGATATGAACCCTTAAAAATAGAAGAAAGCAGAAAAGTAAAATGCTAACTTATATGCGTATCACATGGGAATCTTGTTAAAAACAAGTTTGATTCAGTAGGTTTAGTTGGAGAGCTGGGATTCTGAATTCCTAACAAACCCTTAGGTGAGTTTTGTGTGGCAACTCCATGGAAAAGGTTCATGTAGCAAAGTGACAGACCCTGGGATAAACTGGTTAGAAAAAGAAAGAACAGGCTTCTGGTCACTGCAAAAACCAGCGGGTATTGAGTCTATGGAAAAAGCTGCTGGAGCCCCAAAGAGCTCCTTTTAAAGAACCCATACACGAACCTGTTCAGACTCACTTCTTCTGAGCTCCAGTACTGGGATAGCAGCTTGAAAAGCATCAGTGGCATACAGAGAGGAAATGAAATGTTTAGCATCAAGGCAAGAGCTGAGATACAGCTCTCTTCCAGATAGAAAGGTGGGCAGAAGCCATTGTCCTTTTTCTAAACCCCGCGCCCCACTGACCGAGCCAAAGAGCCAGCAGGTGGGTGCCATATCTAAGACTCCATCAACCTGGCTAACACTGTTTCCCTCCCTATGGAAATCCTCTGAGAATCCATCCCACCCAACTAATGGCCCATCCAAGCCGTTAACTATGACTTTTCTATGTGAATGGCTGGACTTGGCTCATGCTTCGCAACTTCCTAAATCTTCTCAAACAAAAGCAAAAGCTGGCCTCAGTGAGCCTCCCAGTCCCTATATCCTTTGCTAAGTGTCCCCTGCCAGCCATCAGCAGCCATCAGCAACTGGTTGCTGCTAGTTGCAGCTATCAGCAACTAGCAGCAACCAGCCAATATTAACAGCTTGGCTTTGCTTGGGGATCTCCAAGCCCAGCTCAACTAACAGCCATCTCAGATTACTCTATAGCTCAGACATGGTGGCCCTGGCCAAAACACAGGTGGGGGCTGACCTTGGCCTGAACCGCCCACAAAATCCCAGAGCCTGCACACCCAGTGGACAGCTACAGACCGTGTTGGAGCACCACCGCCCTGCCACTAAACAGCTGATCTTCCATGGAGGGCAGAGGTTAGTGGTCAGTGGTCTTAGCTAGTCCTTGAAGCTTACTGGCCTGGGTAAATCCCTCCCTTTGGCCTGCCTACAGCAACCAAGACTCAACTGTAAGAGGAGGGTGTACTTAGCTCCCATGAAGGGTACACCTAGAGTGACCATCTTGTGTAATAGTGGGGGCTGTGCCACTGGACTCTAGAGGACACCTACTATATTAGGCCATGCTACCAAGATCAGGAGTCATAAAAGCTCTACCTAATACATAGAAACAAATACCAGGAGGCTGTCAAAATGAGAGCACAAAGAAACATGGCCCAAAAGGGGAAAAAAGTATATCAAAACTCCAGGAAAAGAATTAAGCAAAATAGAGATAACAATCTACTGGATGCAGAGTTCAAATTATTGGTTATAAAGATGTTCAAGGAACTTAGTGAGGACCTTAACAGCATAACACAGATCTAGTCAGAAATGAAAGACACACTTATTGAACTAAAGAACAATTTGCAGGGAACCAACAGTAGAGTGTATGAAGCTGAGAATCAAATCAATGATTTAGGACATAAGGAAGCAAAAACAACCAATCAGACTAACATGAAAAAAATCTTAAAAAAAAAGAAGAAGGATAGTGTAAGCAGCTGCTGGGAAATCTTAAATCATTCCAATATTTGCATCACAGGGGTTCCAGAAGGGGAAGAGAAAAAGCAAGAAATTTGAAATGTATTTGAAAAAATAATGAAAGAAAAATTCCTTGATTTGATGAAGGAAATAGACATGCAAGTCCAAGAAACACAAAAATTTCCAAACAAGATGGATACAAAGAGGCCCACTCCAAGACACATCATAATTAAAATGCCAATGGTAAAAGATAAAGAGAGAATGTTAAAGGCAGCAAGAAAAAATCAGTTAGTTACCTAAAAGGGGAGTTTCCATTAGACTGTCAGCTGATTTCTGAAAGAAACTTTGAAGGTTAAAAAGGATAGCCAAGACATTTCCAAAATCCTGAAAAGCAGAGACCTACAGCCATGATTGTTCTATCCAGTAAAACTATCATCTAGAACCCATGGGCAACTAAAGAGCTTCCCACACTAGAACAAATCTAAAAGAGTTCATCATCACCAAACAATTATTATATGAAATGTTAAAGAGGTTTATTTTCAAAAAAGAAGAAATCAAAACTATGAACAATAAAACGGCAATGAATATGTATCTAGCAACAACTGACTCCAAAAAACAAACTAATCAAACTAGAAGAACAGAGACAGAATATGGTTACTGAGAACGTTTTGATATTTGCCATATGGGAAGGTGGTGTGGAGTAATGGGTGAAGAGCTGAGGTGATTAAGAGGTACAAATAGGGCTCTGGCTGGTGTGGCTCAGTTGATTGAGTGCCAGCCTGAGAACCAAAGTGTCACTGGTTTGATTCCCAGTCAGGGAATATGCCTGGCGTGTGGGCCAGGTCCCCAGTGGGGGGGTCCATGAGAAGCAACCGCACATTGTTGTTCCTCTCCCTCTCTGTCTCTCTCCCTTCCTCTCTGTCTAAAAATAAATAAATAAAATCTTTTTAAAAAAGTACAAATAAGTAGTTATAGAATATTCATGGGGATGTAAAGTGCAGTTTGGAATTGGTGTAGACAAAGAATTCATACACATGACCCACGAACAACGTTGTAGGGGGTTGCCTGAAGTAGCAGAGGATACTGCAGGGAGGGGCAAAGGGGGAAATTTTGGACAACTGGAATAGCATAATCAATAAAGTATAATTAAAAAAATATAAAATACATCACTAATAAAAAAGAAAAGAAATTATAGTAATGGATAACTTACAGACTAATCATCAACTAATATTATCTTTATTTGTTAGGTATCTATTACAAGCACTTAAACAATGAACTTTTTAATCCAACAGATTAAGGAAGTACAGTTTCTATTATACATCTATAATGTATCAATTATTAAGCATGGACTTTGAAAAACACAAGTAATATGTATGTAGGTTTCTAAATATTGTAAAACATTGGCAACTTTTAAACACTGGATGAAAAGTATGAAAATACATGTATCCAAATTATAGGATATTTTTGGTTTGGGTTGTTTTAATAAAGAACATGTGAGTTAGTCTATTGTTATATGAACTATGCTGAATATAAGGCATATATTAGTAAACATATATCAAAATTAATTTAAACAATTTAACATAGTACACCCTTGTGGTTGCCTAATTTATTTTCCAGTAAACTTTGTAAAGTGATTTGTTCAGACTTACAAATATCGCTTTAAAGTGAATGTGGGGCATATATATGAAGGTTTGTCCAGAAGTTATCCAGCCATGTATTATGAAATATAGAGACATTTTTGAAGAAGGTACAAGATACAAGAAACATTGTACACAGGACAATGACACCTCTGTCTCCCTCAAAATAGGTACTTGGGACCTCACATAGGTCTCCCAATTGCTATCAGCTGCCTGTCATATCTTCCTGAATCTCATTGATGTTCTGAAATATCTTCCCTTTTAAAGGTGATTTCAGTTTGGGGAAAAGCCAGAAGTTGCAGGGTGCCAAATCTGGGCTGTAGCAGGGTTGCATCACCTGGGTGATTTGAAGTTTCACCAAAAAACTCTGCACAAGACATTGATTCATGAACAGGCATGTTATTGTAATAAAGCTTTCAATCACCAGTGGCCCATAACAGTGGCCTTCTGAATCATTTGAATAGTTTCCTCAGAGAAATTTTCAAGCTTAATGTAAAATCTGATGCAGGTTCACTGCTCTACTTGCTCAGTCATTTTGAATGTGATAGCTACCCAGTACACATGCTCACGCCATGGTGTCTCCCACCCCCAACTGACTAGTACAGTGAAGTTGTCATTGTTTAAATACGTGCATTTCAGTCCACTCTCCTTGACTGCCAGGTTACATGGATGTTGTGGAAACCATTCTCTTTGTATTAACAATAGCTGGACTATTTCTGGACAGACCTCATGTATTCATCTCAAACGTGGAATAGTTAAAAATTTTAAATATATGTCTTCATGTTTCTTTCGGTACCCCACTCCTGAAATATGGAACCAACTATATCATCTTCTTGTTAACTTGTGGAAGGGTAATGCAATGAATGATACAGTTGCACGGAAATGGTAATATTCTTTCACTTTTTCAATAAGTATTGTTGTGATTT